GAGTTACCCTTTGCGTTAAATGATGAAAACTATCAATCGTTACCATCAATTTAAACAACTTTAATTGTTAATCGTTATTTGGGTTACCCGATTCCTTCCTCAGTCAGGATTATAAAAGGTAAATTGGTCAATTAATACGAGTTGAAAATTTTCGCAGCATCGCAGGCTGATTTCAAATGGTATGTCTCATAAATGGTGTTATTTGTTTAAATAGAGTTTTAACAGTCGAAATGGCATTTTATTTTTCTTTCGTAAAAGTATCGTATTCTGTTTGGTTATATACCCCTAAAACTGAATCGAGTAACATGCACAGCAATTATAGCGACCATGTTTAAATTTCAAAGCAAAAACAAAGCAAGAAACTGAAAAAAACCGACGAAGGTAAAAGGATATGTATTCAATGAACGGCCATAGTCGTTTCGGCCAAATTCGATCCGGTCATATTGTTTCATAATGTCTTAACATAAATGCATGAATACAATTTTTTGACAGAAGTTCGTTTTAAAAGGAATATAAGTTTAAAATTTCATTTGATCAGAAAGTGCCCGTTTTCTGTGAAACACAATACGTACACTTGGTTAGAACGATAATTTCGTTACTCTCTGACGTTTGTTCTTTATTGACATTTTATTTTTGGTAACAGAAATTGAAAAAGATAAACTTTCGTCATTAGCAGACAAATGAAAATAGACTTATTCGAAACAATCGAGACAATTATGAAACTAAATACGAGAGACATGGACACCAACGACGGCATCTAACCAGATATCCACTGCATTGAACTCTTTCTTATTGACCCTTATTTCACATGGACTTTTAAAGCTTTACTATATGTTATGGATTATGTTCTGTGTTGAAGGCAATGTAAAGTGACTAATAATTTTTACATCTTTGATTTTGTGTATGTGGATAGTTATTTTAAAAGTTCGAAGGCCTACTGAAACATTTTATATTGTTATAAGGTTATATATCCACCTATTGTTAAAGAAATTATTCACTTAAAGTCAGCTTCGGTCCGGTTGCTTGAAATATAGGTATCTTGTTTAATATATAAAATTGGAATATGTGGCATGATTGCCAAGGAGACAACTATTCTGGAGAACAAATATTATAGATGTTAGCAACTATAGGTCACCGTGTAGCCTATAATATAATATGAAGATATAAATCAATCAATTAAGCAATTGATGGTTAAGCTAACCATGTTCATAGAATGTCGAATAACGAACCGGCCAATAACCTCAACTACATATATTAATACATTTAACTTTTTACTTAAATTTTTGAAAGATGAATTACACAGCAATTCGTAGTCCAGAAAACATGTTTAAATTATCCCTCTTACAACTAAATGATATAGTATCAAATATGTTACATCAACACGAAAAATGTATCATACGTTTTTACATATTTTTATTTCATGGTATTAATGGTTTAAATTCAAAGGGAAGAAAAGCAAACTCAAAATAAAGTTTGTCTTCAAACCTATTTGATTGAAACAATTGAATATTTTACTTTTGTACGTAATAGCTGTTAGTCTTGCATAACACATCTTAATCGTCAATATTTGCAGAAATATAAAAAAAACAAGAAAAATATATACATATATCAGCATCGCTGCATTAATTTCAGTTTCTTATTGTCTATTATGAAATAAAATATGTCATCATCATAAAAGTGTTTATTTTCTTATTTGTAAAATGATATTATTTTGTTTGAGTAGTCAGTTACCAATATCTAATATTTTATCCCTTTAAACGTTAACGAAGGGAATAGGTTTCGTTTTTTAAAAGTAAAACACATGTGTACATGTATATTTCAATGTGTATGTGTTTGGGGAAGGGGGTAGTCGATTTGTGTCAATGTCAAATATGGTGTATAGATTTATATATTCTGCCTCATGAGACAATAATTTATCCGAGAATAATAGAATTGATACAATTGTGTTGATACAATAGAATTCGGTAAATTGATCGCTTAATACCTAGAAGAAATACTTATTATGTGTATTTCATCCAGGACGACAGAGGGTGTTCTTTTTCGTGTAATGGTTATCTATAGTTTCTTCGGGTAAATCACCACTTACATTATTCTTAAAACAATATAAAACACCATAGGAATTAAATAATTTGTAGGAAAAATAGATGATTGAGAGAAATAATATTTCTACAAGTTTAGTGTACCACAAACTTATATATTTTTTTTAATATTGTCAAATAAGCGAGAGGTTTGGCTAGCCATAAAACCAGGTTCAACCAACCATTTTTTCTTAAAATCTCCTGTACCAACATAACCCAAGTCAGGAATATGGTAGTTGTTATCAAATAGTTCGTTTCTATATATGTAGGCATTTGTTTTTGTTGCACTTTAGTGTTCTTGTTGTTCCTTTGTTTTCCTCTTATAGTTGATGTGTTTTCCTCGGTTTTAGTTTATAACCCCGATTTGTTTTTCTCTCAATCGATTTATGACCGTTGAACACCGGTATTCTACTGCCTTTATTTAAAAAAAATTGAAAATTGATTTTTTATGTATAAATAACACCAAAGAGCTACATGTATACGCAGTATCTTTTCAATGGGTTATTTCCGATTACAATAATAAGTTTGGTTAAAGCTGTTGACAGTAAAATTTATTTAAATAATAATACACAGTAGGTGCAGTGTCTTGATGGGATCATGTTTTTTGTCGAATATATCGATCGTTTTTTCCCAAGTAAATTGTTAGGGTATTTCGACTGTGACCAGATTTATTTTGGAGTAAATGCTATTCAAAATGTAAACAAAGATACATATCTTCTGGTCAGACGTGAAACCGAAGCTTACATTAAGTTTATTTGGTAAAGAGTTATGATTTAAAACCACACATAATTTGAAGTTAATCCAGTTGAAAATTTTCTTGGGACGCTAGCATTAAAAAATGGAAGATAAGGCCATTATATTTCACTTTCGAAATGCAAACCGCTCATAGAGCCTTTATATTGTTCAGACACTTTACGGAAATACTTGAATTTGGACGATTGAAGTCATTTTGAGGTTAATTTATCTTTTATATGTCCGACTTTTTTCGAGTGCATCCTGGTTTTATCGGGTACATCCTGGTTTAATCGAGTGCATCCTGGTTTTATCGAGTGAACATACAGTGGTCTTTTAATACATTTCGTTAAAAAAACAACTTGAAAAGTACTTTTAAAAGCAAAAACACAAATGCACATACACTACAATAACTTTAAACTTTGATATTGCTGCATATACACATTTCTCGTTCATTTTCATAGATTGTTTTGATTTATATCTTTTAAATGTGTATTTGTGTGCTTTTGTACAGACAAAGTAGATTTATTGTTTTCATTTACAAGTTTTCTAGGTGTAAAACATTATCTATTTATATTTCCAGCAAGGAAGAGGAAGAACTCCGAAACACTGGTTTTAATGAGAATCTGAATCCAACCTGACATATGTATTAATTGGTCGTGCATTAACAACACACTTATACATTGGCTAGTGAAATAGGGGAAAGGTTGAGATCTCACAAAACATGTTTAACCTTGCCGCATTTTTGCGCCTGTCCCAAGTCAGGAGCCTCTGACCTTTGTTAGTCTTGTATGTTTTTTAATTTTAGTTCTTTTATATGTTTTGGAGTTTAGTGTGACGTCCATTTTCATTGAACTAGTACACATTTTTGTTTAGGGGCCAGCTGAAGCCCGCCTCCGGGTGCGGAATTTTCTGGCTGTGATGAAGACCCATTGGTGGTCTTTGGCTGTTTTCTGCTCTTTGGTCGGGTTATTGTCTCTTTGACACATTCCCCATTTCCATTCTCAATTTTATTTTATTTTACACTTGATTGAATTTTGTATTTATTTTACAAAGACTTATATGATGTGACGGGAGCCTTATATATTTCATTAGGCTTCCAATTCCAGCTAAGGAATATCGAATAGACGGACGCAACATACTAGAATTGAATATCTTGTATGTGTTTTATGATATACGAGGATATAATATTTCTATGAATAAACGAAAATGTGAGTTAATGTCAAAAAGACAGATAAAACAATTACACAAAAGGAATCTGGAGGAAAACAATAGACAAGGAGGCTTTACAATATCGGTAGCACTAAATCGTTAATAGTAAATCCATTACAATTGTGAAAAGATTTAAATCAATCAGGAACAAACTAATATCTGATATAATTACGCCCATGCATTTTTCGATATTTTTAACAGTTACATCCATTAATTAATTGAACAGGGCGGCTGTTACTAGTAAGGCATGAATTGCTGACTCTTCTCAAGAACATGATTTATATATCTGTTTTTGCTTCTGCTGTATTCCTCAGTCTTTAGTTTTCTTTTTTTCTTTTTATTTGTCTTTTCGATGTTTGTCGTATTGGCATTGGTAATATTTGTTTTGATAGGACATTTGATTTGTATAGCCCCTTGGTGTTTTATCCATTCTTAATAAATTATAAGGATTTAATGTGATTACCAGTTTTGTGCTGTTTTCGTTATTAAAGGGATTTGATTAAATTTGATATTTAAGTTATTTGTTGTGTTGTGTATTCTATATTTTCATTTAAGTTATGTGGCAAATAAATTCTAAGTGTGCCGCAGATGATAAATAAAAATGAAAATAATTTTAGACTGTAAAAAGAATGCAAGAAAAAAAAAATGAATTCTCCTGTCATCATTTCTATTCACCGTTATGGTTCAAAATACTGCAATGTAAAATTAAAGCACAGAAAGTTGACATTACATTGAAAATGGTGATGAATATCATATATATATTGGGTTTTTAAATGAATATGTGTGTGTTATTATCTTTCACTAAATTACAAAATGAAATAAAAAAAAGTTAATATTTTTAAGGTCCTGAATGCCTTATTTTTTATCATATATTCTTTAAACACCGATCTTCACTTAAATAAAAGGACTGATTCACTCGAAAAAAGCACAGTCCCAGCCAAACACAATACCTACCGTTGAATTTGGTATTGTCACATGATTTCCACAAGTATAAATATCAGAACATTAGGTACATTCTTAAGTGCAGCAAAGTATTTTTTGTTGAACAGGTAAGTTCTTGTATTATATGAATAGTTTATATGTACATTATCTATGTTGTGTTTTGTATAATGTTGTTTGTCTGTTGGTCGTTTATCTTTTTTTCGCCATGACATTAATCCTAAACAGAATGAATAGTCTGTATCTATCCAAAATTCTAAATTTCAGGTGAAAGCTTTTAGAAAAGTAAAGAATTTGAAAAGTATTACCTTAATATGTCATAATTATATTTGAATTAGTGAAAACTCAGAACTTGACGTTACCGCTATGTAGAAAATATATCTCGTCTTTACTCTGCAGTCGGAATTTTGATAAAAGACAGCGTTACCACTGCAGTAGACCAGTACTAAGATATTGGTATAAAAATACGGTAAAAGTTGTCTGATCTTGTATTATATGAATAGTTTATATGTACATTATCTATGTTGTGTTTTGTATAATGTTGTTTGTCTGTTGGTCGTTTATCTTTTTTTCGCCATGACATTAATCCTAAACAGAATGAATAGTCTGTATCTATCCAAAATTCTAAATTTCAGGTGAAAGCTTTTAGAAAAGTAAAGAATTTGAAAGGTATTACCTTAATATGTCATAATTATATTTGAATTAGTGAAAACTCAGAACTTGACGTTACCGCTATGTAGAAAATATATCTCGTCTTTACTCTGCAGTCAGAATTTTGATAAAAGACAGCGTTACCACTGCAGTAGACCAGTACTAAGATATTGGTATAAAACTACGGTAAAAGTTGTCTGATCCCTTTTCTACAAATGAAAAAAAAAAAAAACAGAAATCTGCGTTAACTTCAATTAATAAATTCTTTTTAATGAATTATTTCTTTTTACCATGCTTGTTCTTCAGTTGTACTATGACTCACGAACTTAACATAAAAGTCCTTCGGACAATTATTCGGTTTGTGAGTTCATTCGCTCTAGTTTCACATCAATAATCTCTAGAAAACATGTTTAATCCTATCATTCATAGTTTTGAAATTTTTATAGTTTTCAAAGCTATAAATAATGAGTCGAATTAAATTGACGGTATATATTTCTAACCGTCTCGAAATTTCTCGTATTTTCTACTCTTTCATTGAGGAATGTTTTTTTTTTTATTAATTCCAAAAATATTTGTATTGTTTTCTTTTTTCCACCTAACAAAATCATTGTGCAAGATTTCAGATCATATTTGCAGAGGCTTAGAATATAACAAAATGGCAGAAATTGTTACAGAAATATCCGATATAATAGACGAATCAGCAGATGGAATGGCTGAAGAAGCAGAGGGAGCTGAAGAAGATATGGAACCTGAAGAACAAGCAGAGTTTGAGGAAGAAGTTGCAGATGCGAAAGAAGCGGTTCAAGAATTATCAAAAACTGCAGAAGTTTTTACCAACATTATGGAAGGTTCTCTTAAAATGGTGAAATCATTTGCAATATTTGTGCTTAAAAACATTGCTGTTGGTGCCATTCTGTATTATGTCAATGTTGGTTTATCGAAACTTACCAAGGTTACGAAGAGCAAAGGACAAACTGGCAATAAGAAAATATTAGCTATTGTCAAGGGAATTATTAAGCTTATCAAGACAGAATCCAACTTGTGTAAAGCCATAAAAGATTGGTTGCAAAAACACAAGGACGACACAATTACCTTGGATGGCATTGAAATTAAACTGGAGTCTATATTTGAGACAAAACTGAAGCCTATTTCTGATGTAAGTTTATGCTTCAATTTAGAGTTTAATTACAGAACCCGTACACAATTATCGTGTCAATTTTGTTTGGCTGGATATCCTGTCGAAATTTAGTATCCTAGGTAAGAGCCTAATGGCACTGTTAGCTGATTTGGACATAATGGCTGTTTTATATATTGAACTTAAATATCCAACCACTTTGTCTGAACTTTTGAGGACATTTTGTGTCGACACTTGTCTATCTTGAACAACTATATGTTGACATAATCTTTTTTAAGTTGTATTTTTACGCTAAGATTTAGTCTCTTTGATGTATAACTAACATTGCCACGATATGTTTTGTGTTAATCCTTACGCATTATCAGCAAGTATATTAACACTTTCTCCAATTGTTTTGCAAACAAATAGCAATTATTAAAATTGTCACTTAAGAAGTAAAACAATGTTCATCCTCTTAAAAACAGTCTTCTTCTCTCCTACACTCGCGTAATGCTATATGTAATATTGAAATAAACATCAAGATTACGCAATATGTTACAAGAGTTTCGTCATCGGTGTCTGAGGAAACAATTATTGAGCCAGGGTTTTGTCAAAGAATGTCTCGTCCTTTTTCTGACAAAGTTCATCGGAAAATACCAAGACTTAATAGATAAAAAGTGTCTACAAATAATACAAGGTGGTCTTAAGTTATAGATTCAAGTTGTGTATCTTTTTATTTTACATTTCTGGTGCAGGTAGGTCCTGGTGTGCGATTTGGACACAAAGGTTTTTAACAGTGTTGTTTCTATTTCGTTTAACCTTGCATTTATATTTACTTAATTTTTAATTATCGAGAAGTGTACATATACGGTATGTACTTTTAACGACAAGAACCTTTTTTTGCTGACGTCATTTTCAAATTTAAAATTTACAATCTACTATACGTTTTTTGGTGACGCCTTTGTAAGATTGATGGGTATGTTTGTTTGAATTTTTTAGTCAGTTGTGTTGTATGTCTGTGATATATGTTTATATAGTTTTGGCTGCTGGATCCCAATCACTGTCATGTTAACCTATTATGTCTGTTTGGGTTGCTCATCCAATTTTGTCAATATAACAGAACTATAACTGTCATACAAGTGGAAGGTTTGGTATTTTTGTTATAAATTTGTTTTGTCTCAGAATTTTTAACAAGCCCCAGGTAAACGTATTACGTTTTTACACAAGTCAGTCGAAAGTAGTTATTGTACGTTATTTCTATTTGGAAATGCCATCTGACAAGTGTGTAGTTAATTGATTGAATACATTACTCCTTTCACTTCCATCCAACCAATATAGATTATGATGCATTGATCAATGATTAGTATATAACCAATGTGTATACATTCAATTTAGTTTGATTTCACAAGTAGCAGAGATGCAGAAAAGATTGTCAATCGTATTTACATAGTTATTTGTTACGACAAACATTCTGTTTTTATTCTAGCGTTATTGTTATTAAAGTTTAGAAGATTAGTAGAACAGTAAAAAAGTATAACTAAAATACAGAACATCAAGATAAAGTCAAAATGTGGAAATTTATAAAAACTGACAAAATCGAAAGTGGCATGTTATCAACCAATGAAACGGATGGAAAACAACATTCATATTCATCACGTGAAAATTTCAAAATATAGTTTTATTTCGTATTGAGATGAAATTAAACCATGAACATATTTTAAGTATTGTTGTTTTTGTAGGCTATTGAGAAGACCTATGCTACCGCAAAGCATTTAAAGACAAAGAAAGATGGCAAATCGTCATTCAATATTCCGACAGTAGCCAACATTGATAGTTTGTTGGATGGATTGGTGTCTTTCCATAAAAGCTTAAGAACGCTCCGAGACTTTGCAGAACAAAACAAGGGAAAGGTTGTTGGTCTTAAATCCTTCCTTGAAATAGTTACCCCAGAAGTCCTTGATGAAATACAGAATCAAATTGAGAATGTAAAGAAAATGCCTACGGAATGAACAAAAAGAAGCAAGACTCTAGTTTTGTATAGTTATGTAACTTTATAAGTAAAATGCATTTCGAAAGAATTTAAACTTTTATATAATACATAACATAAAGCTTTGTGTCTTTCGTGTTTATCGTTATTTCTTGATAAATTCAATTGTTTTGAACCAATATTTCAGGAGGTCATACATTTAAATTTGAATCGGCATACCCAAAAAGAGCCTTAGTAGGGGCACCACTAGAGTTCAAATTCAACCTCTGAGTTTTTTTTATAATAAGTTAGTCATATAGTAGTTGAATATTGTAAAAAAATGAGAAATGTTCTTTAAAAGTATCATGATAACCAATGCGTAAACATCTGAGCTAATTTTTCACTGGGAATTTTCAATCCCCTACATGAACAAAGGCGCATTGGTAGTAATGAAAAAGCAGAACACGACTTACAAGTGTCTGAACTAATAAGACAAACAAGGGAAAGACATTCATGTCGATTTCTAATTTTATTATTATGGTTAAATTTTGACATTAGCACGGTAGAAATTAGTTTTATTCGTCAATGAATTCCGATGAATTACATATCGATGCAAACGAACAGTACTGTTTAAAGGTTTAAACACAAACAAATACCAAACAGCTACCAACTAGATTAAACAGTTAGACATCATCAGCATTACGTGTGATCAAGTGGAAATAATACACTTAATAAAATAAGTTTTAGTGTAATGGTCTTGTCAGTGTATTCGCATTACCGTTCAAAATTTACCAGGTATAATGACATCATTGTAAGTGTTTTACTAGTAAGTTAAGAATTGAAGCGGAAGCAGACGGAGCAGCGGATACAGCTGCAAAGTCCGAGGCGGAATCAGCGACCGACGGTTCTGGAGAAGGCTCATCTATTTGCATAACTATTTTGATTCATAATGACACTGCAATCAAAAGGGTCTTTGATAGGTTACAACCATAAGACAACGAGGGTATGACATACGTAAATGATCATTGAACAGTCCATGTCGATTCGTAGTTTCATTATAAAGGTTATTTATGGTATTCGATACGGTTTAACACTAGGTTTTATTCAACAGTATAATTTCGATGAATTACATATCGATGCAAGCAAATGTCTTGATAAAAGGTTATATTCATGGTAGATGTCCGTTGTTATTCTGCGGTTTACATGTTGTAATGTACTATTATATTATTCATTTATGTATTTCTCTGTGCTGAGTGTTCTTGCGTTTGTTTGTACTATATTCCTGTCACGTAGTGTTGTCGTTTTAGCGGTATTTTTTAACATTTCCATATAAGCTAGCCATAAAACCAGGTTCAATCAACCATTTTTTCTTAAAATGTCTTGTACCAAGTCAGGAATATGGCAGTTGTTATCAAATAGTCCGTTTCTATGTATGTTGGCATTTGTTTTTTGTTGCAGTTCAGTGTTTCTCTTGTTCCGTTGTTTTTCCTCTTGAAGTTGACGTGTTTCCCTCGGTTTTGGTTTGTGACCAGGATTTGTTTTCTCTTATTCGATTTATGACTTTTGAACAGCGGTATACTACTGTTGCCTTTAATAAGACCAAACCAAAAATCAAACCATGCCAACAGTGGTTGAAATGGCTATCAGTTGGATTTGACAGTAAGAATTTGCATTCGGTGTGATCAAGTAGGAATAGTATACATAATCAGATAAGTTGTAATCTAATTGTGGTAAAAGCCTATTTCCATCAAGGTTAACTATGTATACCCGCTAGTAATGTAAGCGTTTTTTCTAATGAAGTCTGATATTTGAAAGAAGACATGCAATTTTCAATCCAAGTCAAGAAGTTAAGGACAAAGATTCTTTGTCTGACATATTTCTTTCCTTTCTTATAGATCCCATAAAAAGTGTCAAGTATCGAACGGAAATCAGTTTTCAACAATATGGGTATAGTTATTGGGATCATTATTGACGTGGTTGTGACAGCAGCTGCCACAGCAGCAGAGGCTGCCGCGGATGCAGCAGCAGCGGCATTAGCAGAGGCAGCAGCAGAGGCCGCAGCAGACGCAGCAGCAGAGGCCGCAGCAGATGCAGCAGCTGAAGCGGAAGCAGAAGGAGCAGCGGAAACAGCTGCAGAGTCAGAAGCGGAATCAGCGGCCACAGGTTCTGGAGAAGGCGCATCTATTGCAACAAAAGTTTTAAGAGGTATTGCGAAGTTAAGCGAGTTAATCAAGGATTTCTTTGGCATCGATTCCGTTTTTAAAATTGCCATGTCTATCATTCATGATATCGAAGGTAGCTCTCCAAGAGGACGAAAACTTGAGAAATACCTTAAGGTTTTGATAGAAATGGGAAAGAAAATGAATGGCATAAAGGAATGGATAGAAAACCACCAAAAAGATACCGTTAAATTGGAAGGAATAGATGTTCCTGTTGATTCCGGTGTACTGAGCAAATATATGTCTCCACTTACAGCTGTAAGTAAAAAATCAAATAAAATTAATGACAAATATCAATAACAACAACTATTACGGCATTCGTCAATGAAGTAATAATTCTAAATTCATCGACGCCATACAATTAGGGGAGAGGGTATGTGACTTCTAATAACGGAAAGTGACCAAGGTGTTGATTGTATTGTTTAATAACATTGTACGGTCAAATGGCGTCACATGTCACGATGCTAATACAACTTTGATAGAGATAATTGTTTTGAAGTGGGCATTTACAAATCGTTTTAAAGACGAATGGGTTAACTTTGAAACATAGTTCAACGTCTCGTTTTTTTCTTTGAACGATGGTCCGGAATAGAAAACTGTTGTTATGACGAAAAATGATCAAAAGTAAATAAAATCTGACTTTAAACTTTATCCTTTAACTTTGATAGCAAATAATTGTTTTGAAGTGAGTACTTTACAATCGTTTTATCGACGCACGTGTTTGAAGCATAGTTTTACGTCTCAACTTTTAATGCTGATCCGGAAAAGAAAACTATATATATAGGTCACTTCATAAATATATATATAAATACGACGAAAACACCCATTTAAGTGAGGTTTTTTGTATCTGATCGTGACAATAAGGTAATTGACAAGCTCATTTTGTTTTTGTATTTGAGAAGTTTTGGTATGAATGTTGTTACATATGAACACTAGGTTATTAATAACAATAAGGACCCTTTAAATAAAGGACAGTTTGTTGAAATATTAATATATCAAGTTCTATTCTTTATGTTGCTGAAAAAAATTAAGCATTTTAGAATATCTATTTTTGGTATTTATTTGTTTTTTCTTAATCAACATGGCTATCAACTGATTTTCTGTAAGCTATCCAAATGTTTAGATGACACTCGCTAAAATAATAAAATGTTTCTAAATATACCAGTGTAACGTATCCACTGATTATCTATAAAAAAGATATGTGTTTCTTTTGTCATTTCAACTTCGAACACAATGATGATCATCTAAACAAAAATTTCAAACGTATTTACATTTTATTGACTTTATTTTAGGGAGTTGGACATTTGAGAAACATATCTAATAATGTTGAAAACCAAAATAAACAGAATAAAGCGATGACGGAAACACAACTTGATGCCATGAGACGATGTCTTGTAAAAGTTAACACAACATTCGAACAATTGGCAAAGTTTATTGATGAGAAGAAAAGCATAGTGAAGGTACTTTCGTCCTTTCCAATCAACAAGGATGAAGTGAACAATTGGAAATCAGAGCTTGAAAATTAATGGATACCATTTGTAAATAATAATATAAAGACTAAAAATACAATGCTAGAACAACTAATAAAGTTGTAATAACTAGAAGAACCTGTGTTTTCTCTCGAGAAATATTTTTGTACATACATAAACAACAAGTTGGGTAGCACATGTGGATCAGGATCTTTCTACTCTTTCGGAGCACCTACGATCACCCCGGGTTTTGTGGTGGGGTTCCTGTTACTTTGGTTTTAGTTTTAAATGTTGCGTTTTGTATTCTGTTATAAATATAAGGAGATGTGGTATGATTGTCAATAAGACAACTATCCACCAGAATTCAATTGTGTTTCTTTTGGTCGTGTTTCGTTTTTTGCCATGGCATTGGCATTTTGTTTTTGACTTATGAGTTTAGATATCCCTTATATATCTTTTGCCTCACTATAATAAACGTTGTAATACTGTAAAAGTAGTTGTTTGAAGGTATCAATGTTTGTGGTTTGAACAAAAGTGAAATGTTCAAGGATTCTTGAATTCATAGATTTTAGTTTTCTGAAAAAATGAAGTGAAGAATTTGAAGCCATCAGAAACATATGCTGTTTTATAATTATTTGTCGAACATTGCAAAAGAAGGAGTTCATTTTCACTTACTCGTACGTCTTTCATTACTGACAACATTTATGAAAATTTAATAAAATAATTGCCTTCGGAAATAATCTTTTTCACTGATAAGTCTTTTGTAGACGAGACTTGCGTTTGGCTAACAAAATAATATGCTTGGTAGTTTTGATAAAAAGATTGTTAACAAAGTATGATTTGGGTCCGTGTATATTTGCTTCCATTTTTGTTTTATCGTTTTGAGTTTAAAAAAAAAACAAAAAATAATTTTGATTTCTCATAAACCAAAACGAAAAACAAAAGTGTTTTCGTTTTTTGTTTTTTGATATCTTGAAACAAGAAGCGAAAAACGGGAGTGTTTTCGTTTTTCGGTTTTGATTTTACTAAACAAAAACGAAAAACGACATTAGGATTCAATTTCTGTATCTAATGCTCAGTATTTCTTGTTTACTCATCTACAATGTTCTCTTTGTTTGTTTAATTTCAACATAATTGAATATTGACAACGTAGTTCGCTTTTGTTTTTGTGAGTTATTGGTAAAGAAGACAACATAAGCCGCCTGGGTTATCAATTGCAATGAGTAATTAATAAAAAAAAAAATTAATTTTCATGTTCTTATCTAATATGAGGCAGGCATTACCTGTGAAACGGGACGAAGTCTGTATACATTATTCTTTTTATAATTCAAGCATATTTACCTTCAGAATCTGTTACAAAAAGAAACGGAAATACGGAAACGTTTCCGACGTTGGTCCTGTTGTTAGGGAATTTTGTTGTGACGTCATTTGCAATGTAATCAAAGAAACGATATCATTAGGTAACTTTTTTTT